GGCAGAGCGAGGAGAGGAAAAGACAAGCAGAGAATATGAACACCCAGGGCCAAAGTGGTTGGGGCACCTGAAACAGAATCTGAAGGGGGCAACTGTGGTACATGGGTGGGCAAGCAACATCCTTTGCAGAAGCTCTTGATACATACTTGTTTGCTTCTCCTTCAATAGCGGAGAACATAGACAATCCTGGAAGAATGACCATAGAGGGAATGAATGCCAAAGAAAAGCAACCTCAATTTCACTACACAGACAAAACAATTCAAACAGTACTCTGTGCCCAGATACTACGTGAGCTGTCCAACAGGGTAGGATAACATCTTTAATGACCAACAAAAAAGAACAGACTGGAAGCATGAGAAATGTTGAAAACTGTAATTCACACTGAATTTGCTAAAATGTAATTTGTGGCCTCTTCTTCAATTATAGAAGTAAATATTAAAGGGACATTCTCACAGTTTTAAAACTAACCAGAGAAAATATAAAAAACCATGAAGATTTATATATTTAACTCATTTAAAATGTCTATTCCTCCCCTCTCAAAGAAAATCATACACAGAGATTTTTCTAAAAGAGACTTCAGTCTGGGTGCAATGGCTCACGCCTGTAATCCCAGCACTGTGGGAGACCTAGGCAGATGGATCACTTCAGGTCAGGAGTTCGAGACCAGCCTGATCAACATGGTGAAACCTTATCTCTACTAAAAATACAAGAATTAGCTAGGTGTGGTGGGGTGTGCCTGTAGTCCCATATACTCAGGAGGTGGAGGCAGGAGAATCACTTGAGCCTGGGAGGCATGGGTGTTGCAGTGAGCCAAGATCACACCACTGCACTCCAGCCTGGGAGACAGAGAAGGACTCCCTCTCAAAAAACCACCCCAACCAAAAAAAAAAAAAAAAAACCATCACAAGGGACTTCAAATTTGGGTACAACAATGGAAACATAACTACAACTGTTTCCCATACTTCTCAAAGAGGTCTTATAATTAAAAATAAACAAAAAAAATCATAACAGAAAAGTAGCAAAGGATCAGGCTAGAGAGGAAAACACAAACGTTCAGCATGTTTTGTAGTAAAAGAGGGGGTTGGACATGGCAGCCGGATCTCAGCCTCTACTTGAGAGGCTGAGACTGGAGGATCTCCAGAGCCCAAAAGTTTGGGCCCAGCCTGGGCAACACAGCAAAATCCCATCTGGGGGGTTGGGGAGGCGCTGACAAACCCAGAAAAGTAAAATCTGGTCCAGGGCTTGTTTCTGTAAACATAACATTTTACTGGAATGGAGCCATGCTCATTTGCTCATGTATTATCTACAGCTAATTTCACATTACAAAAGCAGGATTGATTAGCTGTAAAAGAAACTGCATTATGCAACTGTTAAAATGAACAGATCTGTTTTGACCAGCCTGCCTAACACGGTAAAACCCTGTCACTACTAAAAATACAAAACTTAGCTAGGCCTGATGGTGGACGCCTGTAATCCCAACTGCACAGGAGGCTAAGACAGGAAAATCGCCTGAACCCGGGAGGAGGAGGTTGCAGTGAGCCAAGATTGCACCACTGCCCTCAAGCAACAGAGCGAGACTCCATCTCAAAAAATAAAATCAACAAACAGATCTGTATGAGCTGATAAAGATCTCCAAACGCCCTCAAGGGGAAAAAAAAAGTTTCTGAAGCTGAGACAACATTAAACAAATTTGTGTATCTTAAAAAAAAAAAAAAAAAAAAAAAAAAAAAATCACAGGCCAGGTGTGGTAGCTCCTGCTTGTAATTCCACCACTTTGAGAGGCAGAGGCAGGATTGCTTCAGCCCAGAAAGTCAAGACCAGCCTGGGCAACATGATGAAAACCCATCTAAACAAAAAAATTTAAAAATTAGCTAGGTGTGGTGTCGAGCCTGTAATACTTGTTTACTCAGAAGGTCAACGTGCTAGGATCACTTGAGCCCAGGAGGTCTAGGCTGCAGTGAGCTGAGACCACGCTACTGCACCTCAGTCTTGGCAACAGAGCAAGACCCTGTCTCAAAAAATAAAAATCACACACACACATTTTTACTTGAGAGAGTAACTGATTGTTCCTTAACACTGCCTTATTTAAGCATGGAAACAATGCTGCTAAATTTTCTTTGCTCCAAAGTGTTGATTCCATATGTATAAAATAGCCCAAAACAAGCATACAAAACTATACTCAATATCCTTGAAAAATCTCAGAGCTGTTTTTACAGTAGAAAACACAATCAAAATGCCTTCTTGAAAAACTCAAACATCTAGATACCAAACTCACCAATCTGACAGATTGTAAATTGCTGAACACTCTGGCGGGTCTTTAGATACCACTCCGACGGCAAATCAAAAAGACTGTGAACAAACAGGCATCTCATTCCACGGGCAGTGACATACCAGCCCCGCACTATGGCCTCCGCGGCTGATCACCACTCTCAACCGGGGAGCATTTTTTCCTTTTTACAACCAGGGAACACCACCAGCATGTTGTGGCCAAAAGCCAGGTCCCCCAACACGTGGGAGCAAGCCACACAAAACGTCTTGCCCCCCAAATGCCAACAGGCCGCTGACCAAACGATGCTGGTTGGGCCAGATCTCATACAGAAGGGACACAGCTTTAGTTTTACCTGATCTGCTGGGGCCCAGACAGGTTAGAACGAAGGCCCGTGAATTCTATGTCCAGACCTGCCGGAAGGCAAAAAAATACCAGTCCTTGGCTGCAGACCATCGCTAGCACTCTTCACACTGTAAATCTGCAGGCAGCCAACGCACACACCCGGGCTCACCTCCGTGCTCAAGAAGCCAGGTAAGGAGGAACCGAAGCAAGGAGCAGCCAGCGGACACCGCCCTCTCCCCTGCCCCCACCCCAGGGTTGCACCTGGGCGCACCGGGCTCTGACCAACAAGGCACGAGGGGCGCGGAGTGTACTTGCTGCTCAACGTCCCACCGTCCCTGGGGCCGGAGAAGTAAGCCCCCTGTCCTTCCCGAGGCCCTTTCTGGGGCCCTGGGGCCTGGTCCACCACCCACTCCCCAAACTCGCCCGGGGCAAGGGGCGCTGTCCCGCACAGCCGGGAATCCCAGGTGCCTCACCCACGAAGTCCGACTCCTGGACAAGCTCTTGCAGCAGAGGGAGGCTCTCCTCGAACTCCTTGGCACCCACGTCCATGGCCGCGCAGCCGCACTGAGACACCCAGCGCTGTTACGTGCTGTTCACGCGCTTCCGCTACACCGCCTGGTCTTAAACGGCGCACGCGTATAAAATAGGCAGCTGTCCACGCCCCACGTGCCCGGTTCCTCCGTGTGGGGCTGGCGTTGCCCACACCTGCCTGCGAGTTTTTTGATTGTACAATTTGTCACAAAGGTGAAGGTTGCTTGCAATCAAAAACTGTTTACCTGGCTCCTTAGCAATTTCTTTGCAGCCCTTAATGTGAGAATGTCATTTACATAGACCAATGTTTAAGAGGTGTGGCAGGAGGAAAAGACAGAGTCCCCAGGAAAAGAGTGAAAGCAGGAAAGCGGAACAGAAACAACCCTGCCAGAACTGCAACAAATAGATCCTTCGCTTTGGCTCACGGTCTTCTAATTCACTTCTTCCCAACTTCTCCATCACTGCCAATATCGGTCTGTCCTTATGCCCTCTCCCACGGCCCTGGACATCTTTTTCCTCATTCTGCTGTCCATCTTACTACTGTCTTCACACCAGCAATCAAACTTTGCAAAGCCTCAAGAACTGCCCATTACATGGAAGGAATCCTTGGCCCCTGCGGATTATCTTGTGCACTCACTCCTTGCCCAAATCCCTACCTACAGCATCACTTACAGGTGAGCCCAGTGTTTACTTTTGTTACTGCTTCCAGTGCCACTAGTCCATGGTCTTCCTTACAGTGTCCTCCCTTGGATCCTAGGCTTCTATTTGAACATTGTTTTCGAACTATGGTTCTCAAAGTGAGGTGCTCTAATCAATCTTTAAGGTTAGGGGAGAAAACAGTACATTTTTTTTGTTTTGTTTTTTAACTATTTTGAGACAGATTCTCGCTCTGTCACCCAGGCTGGAGTGCAGTGGTGACATCTTGGATCACAGCAACCTCCACTTCCTGAGTTCAAGTGATTCTCCTGCCTCAGCCTCTGGAGCAGCTGGGATTACAGGCATGCACCACCACAGGCTTTCACCATGTTGGCCAGGCTGGCTGCTGCCTCTGCCTCCCAAAGTGCTGGGATTACAGGTGTGAGGCATTGCATCCAGTCTTCAATTACACTTTTAAATGCCTCCCCTGGGACATTAATTAAGCAGAAGGGGACTATTAAACCATTCAATTCTGAAGGCCTGTCAACCAATCACACTTTTAAAAAATGGTGCATACAGATCTGTATTCTATTTAAAATAACACACTTAATACTCAAATTGGGAGAAATAACATTTCACTTCTAAATATATAATTGGGGGTATACATTTAAAAACTTAGAAAACAGTGCTCTAGAAGCTACCTTAACTGCCTACAGGTTTTTTTTCTCACATTTATCAAATAGCCAAAAATTAACACCTTAATTAGCTCCTTTCAGAGAACTGCCATAATTCCCATCTACCCAAGCTCAAATTTTAGATTAACTGACATACACTTCAAGCTTCATCTCCTTCCTGGTAAAATGTTTGCTTTATGACAAACTGAGCACCCATTACTCCATCCATTTCCATCTCTGCTTTCAGCTCTCATGGCACCTCCTTCGTCTTTCAAATTTGTTTCTCTTACCGTTGAGAACCAAGAGTCCAAGTCAGGTTGACATTTGGTCCTTTGATCTTCACATACTGACTGTTCTATAATAAACTTAGACTGATACTGACATTTCCTATTTTAGAGAACACCCCACACTCTGAGCGGCAAACAACTGTCATTCACTGAGATCCCTCGTCATGAGCCAGACGTGGTAATAAGTGGTTCACATAAACCTCATATGTGCTCTGCTGCTACAGTAAGCTCAAAGACAGAAAATGTCATATAACCTGAAAATAAGAGTTCATAATATGCCTTTATTTTGTAATTTATAAACAACTTCTGACTCGTCCTTTGAAAGTTAATTATAATTGATGACTGCTTTTCTTACATCTGTTTCAAGTCCGAGAGGGGCAGATTGCAGTTCTTGATTTAACAAAGAGAAAGGGGAGGAGGATGACCTTAACTACAAATAATACTCCACTGTGACAATACTGCCGTAAAACTTCCATGCTGGCTGTTCTTTCAGATGTTCTCTTTTGATGGCTGTAGTAGTTGATGGTTTTATATGTTCAAAACAATTAATGCTTCCATTTATTCATAGATTCTCCGAGGTTCCTGTAGAACCACACCAGCTTCTGTCATGGCACTTTGTAGTCGTTTCATCTGGGTTTGAAGATCAGTAAAAAAGGAAAAGATTAAGTCTGCACCACAAGTAGGCTGAACATACTTTCACTTTCCAAAAGACAAATACATTGATTTGTTCTTGCTACCTTTCCAGCCTACAATGGTTTCTCAGAAAGTGATCTTAATAACATAGGTAAGGACAAAGGAAATGTAGAGATGTCAAGGTTCAGCAGCATTTCAAAGTATTATACAGACAAGATGTCAGCATATGAACAGGAAACACAGTGGCTGACATCATGGGCTACAGAATCAGTCACCCTGGGTTTGAAATCCACCATACACTGTCTCGGGGCAAGTAAGCCTCAATGTATTCTGTACAGATTGGGAATACCAGTCCCTATCCTATGGACTGATGTGAGGATTAAATGAAGTAACACTGTTGAGGTACTCACCAAAGGGTCTGACACATGGAAAAGTACTTGGTAAATAAAAACTATTATTATGTAAGTTACCTAATGACAAGAATTAACATAATACCTTTTAAATAAGTACATGAAAACAAAAATACCGAGTCTGAAGCTGCCTCCCATGGCGTTGGTTGGTAGACCATGAAGTTGATTCCCGCCTCTAAGCATCTCTGTGCCAGCACTCGGCCTACATTCTCACAAGCCACCACATTTCTGGTACTATAAAGGTGCTTTTTAATAGCCCATTCTCGAGTGGATGCCGAAACCACAACCTTGCCATTTTGATGCTCCACAAATGCGTCTACATGATGCTGAGTCCTTATAACTCGCAACCTAAATGGGGTGAGAAGATAATAAAGTCATAAAATAATCTGTATCTTAACGTTACATTGAGGTGAATAAATGACTAAATATTTTTCAACAATCCAGTGTTTGGTTAATTTATTTCAACATATTTAACTTCAATTTTGCTTGGCAAAAGTTTTTCCTCCGCATTTATGAGAATATCCTCAATAATAACAAACTAAATAGTTCCACTTAACCTCAAGTATCATAAAGACATTTGTTTCTGAAGAACTGTTTTATTTACGTATCTACTTCAAAAAGGGATTTGAAGAGGCAGAGCTAAGTTACTAAACATACGCATGATGTGGATATACTTACTCTTTGCTTTTATTTTATAGCTGGCACCAAAATAAATGTAAGATGGAGCAAAAATTTAAATGTAAAAACTGAAATCATAACAGTACTACAAGAAAACATGGGAATTGTTTTTATAATCTCAGGGAAAGCATATTTAAATATGACATCAAACCATGTCATATGGCTTTTATTATTATTATTTGAGATGGAGTTTCACTTGTTGCCCAGGCTGGAGTGCAATGGCGAGCGATTTTGGCTCACTGCACCCTCCACCTCCCGCGTTCGAGCGATTCTCCTGCCTCAGCCTCCCAAGAAGCTGGGATTACAGGCATGCGCCACCACGCCAGCTAATTTTGTAGTATTTTTAGTAGACAGGGGTTCTCCATGTTGGTCAGGCTGGTTGCAAACTCCCAACCTCAGGAGTTCCACCTGCCTCAGCCTCCCAAAGTGTTGGGATTACAGGCGTGAGCCACTGCACCCAGCCTGGCTTTCATTATTTTTTAGAGACAGGATCTCACTCTGTCACCCAGGTTGGAGTACAGTAGTGTAACCACAGCTCACTGTAGCCTCAAACTCCTAGGCTCAAGAAACCCTCCAGCCTTAGTTTCCCAAGTTGTTGGCATTACAGGTGCATGCCACTGCACCAAGCTAATTTTAATTTTATTCTGTAGAGACAGGGTCTCATCATGTTGCCCAGGCTGGTAACAAACTCCTGGCCTCAAGTGACCCTCCCTTCTCAACCTCCTAAAGCACCAGGATTATGGGCATGAGCCACTGGGCCCAGCTTCATATGGCCTTTTTTTTTTTAAGACAAGATCTGCCTCTGTCGTCCAGGGTGTAATACAGAGGCACAAATTTGACTCACTGGAGCCTCTCGCCTCCTGGGTTCAAGCCGTTCTTCCACCTCAACCTCTCAAGTAGCTGTGACTACAGGTGCATGCCACCACACCCAGCTAATTTTTATATTTTTTGTAGAGACAGGGTTTTACCATGTTTCCCAGGCTGGACTCTAACTCCTAAGCTTGAGCAGTCTGCCCACCTCAGTATCCCAAGTGCTGGGGTTACAGGCTAAGCCAGCATGCCCAGCCCTTCATATGGTATAAAAAAGAAATGATGGACAAAATTTCCTGCATGGTTAAAAAAAAAGTAAAATGAAGTCAAAAGAAAAGGAATGAAACAAAAAATATTTTAGGCTGGGTATGTGACTCACGCTTATAACCCCAGCACTTTGGGAGGCTGAGGCTGGAGGACTGCTGGAGCCCAAGAGTTCAAGACCAGCCCAGAAAACATAGTGACACCGTGTCTCTACAAAAAAAAAAATAGAAAAAATCAGCCAGGCATGGTGGCATGCACCTGTAGTCCCAGCTATTTGGGAGGCTGAGGGGGAAGATTGCTTGAGCCTGGGAGGCTGTAGCTGCGGTGAGCCTTGATCATGCCCTGTACTCCAGCCTGGGAGACAGAGTAGAACCCTGTCACAAAAATATAAAAATAAAACTTCAAAGGCAAAGCATTATCTGAACAGACTGTTCACAGAAAAAAATATTAATGACTCAAACTCGTACAAATATGCCCAATCTCACTAATAAAATGCATGGGCAAGACAATTCATTGCAACACTGTAATCATAAAAGATAATCATCCACTGGGGGCCAGTTAAGTAAAATCCATGCAATAGTATTCCATATAGTTAATGAAATGAATGAAATAATGCTTTATAATGATGATAACAATAGTTAACATTTACTGAGCACTTACTATATGCCAGGCCTGTCTTAAACTGTTAGGTTTGTAAATATAGCTTGTGTCTCAATTCTATTATTTTTTCTAAAGCTGTAGAACTAACACTGAAAGGTTAAGTAACTTGAAAATGATTAGAACTAGTAAGTAATGGAGCCATGGTTTAAGTCCCAGTGGGTGGCTCCTGAGTCAATGCTCTTAACTGCCCTGAACAATCTCCAAGATGTATTTTTAAGTGGGTGGTTGAGGGTGGTGGCGAAGGAAGTTGCCAACGTGTTTATGGTATGCTAAGATTTATCATTTTTTAAAGATTTTGCTTATTTACATAGACTGTCTCTAGAAGGACACACAAGAAACTGTACTCCCTTTCAATTTTATAACATATATACATATTATACTTTAGAAAGTTAAGTTTAAGTTAAAGAAAACATACCCAAGCCGGGCGCGGTGGCTCACGCCTGTAATCCCAGCACTTTGGGAGGCCGAGGCGGGTGGATCACGAGGTCAAGAGATCGAGACCATCCTGGTCAACATGGTGAAACCCCGTCTCTACTAAAACTACAAAAAATGAGCTGGGCATGGTGGCGCGTGCCTGTAATCCCAGCTACTCAGGAGGCTGAGGCAGGAGAATTGCCTGAACCCAGGAGGCGGAGGCTGCGGTGAGCCGAGATCGCGCCATTGCACTCCAGCCTGGGTAACCAGAGCAAAACTCCGTCTCAAAAAAAAAAAAAAAAAAAAAAAAACATACCCAAATCAGAAGAGTCTCACTAGGATTCTTAATGTGAAATAGAAAAGCCATTAGATTTAGAAATATGGATTCCACTCCTGGTTTTCCTGGTGGCTCTAGTAAAAATCACAGTCTCTTAAACCAGGAGTCAACAATCTTTTTTTACAAAGTGCCAGATAGTAAATATTTTAGGCTTTGTAGGCCATACAGTTTCTGCTGAAACTGTTCAACTCAGCCACTGTAGTGCTAGAACAGCCAGTTGATCTGTAAACAAATGAGAATGAGTACAGCTATGTTCTAAGAAAACTTTCTTTGTGGACAATTAAGTTTGATTTTCATTTAATTTTCACAAGTCACAAACTATTCTTTTAATATTTTTTAACTTAAAAAAGTAAAAACAATTTTTTAGCTCACAAGCTACCTTTGGCCCACAGGCCACAGTCTGCTGACCCCTGTCCTAAACCATTTCAAGGAAGGGCCCGATTCATGATGTCAAAATCATTTTCTACTATAATATTCTAAAATTCTCTACTGTTAATATTGTGAGTAGGGCAGACAGAGAAAAAATGAGAAAACACACCTCTAGTTGTTTAAATGATCCAAATATGAAGTGAAAGTAATACATTGGGGCCAGGCGCAGTGGCTCATGTCTATAATCCCAACACTTTGGGAGGCTAAGCCAGGCAGATCTCTTGAGCTCACCAGTTTGAGGCCAGCCTTTTTAATGGCAAAAAATACCAAATCTCTACAAAAAATACCAAAAAAATTTAGCTGGGCATAGTGGTGTGTGCCTGCAATCCCAGACGTGTAGGAGGCTGAGATGGGAGAATTGTTTTGAGCTTGGGAGGCAGAGGTTGCAGTGAGCCAAGATCACACCACTGGACTCCAGCCTGGGCGACAGAGCCAGATGTTGTCTCAAACAAAACAAAACAAATTAGGCGGGAGTAGTGGCATGCGCCTGTAGTCCCAGCCACTCAGGAGGCTGAGGTAGCAGGATTGCTTGAGGCTGGGGAGGTCAAGGCTACAGTGAGCAGAGATCATGCCACTGCATTCTAGCCTGGGCAACAGAGCCAGATCCTGTCTCAAAAACAAAGAAAAAAGAAAGTAATAGGTTGGGTGTTTCAAAGATTTTTAGCCTTCAGATTCAGATTATTTAAAAATTGAATTTTTGTATTTTTAGTAAAGACAGGGTTTCACCATGTTGGCCAGGCTGGTCTCAAACTCCTGACCTCAGATGCAAAGTGATGGGATTACAGACATGAGACATTCTGGCCCGGCCAGAATGATCTTTAAAAACCGGTTGTGGCTCAAGCTTTAAATCCTCTCGTAGTGTCCCACTACAATGAAAATAAACTCTAAAGTGCTTATCTTGATTTACAAAGCTAATGATCTGTCTCCTCCTTACCCCTCCATGTTCATCTTAGGCCATTTACCCTCTGCTCACTTAACTTCAGAACCACAAGCCCTTCAGTTCCTCAAACACCCCAGCTCATACCCACCCCAGCAGTTTCCTCAGCTTGGAGTGCTCTTTCTGATAGATGACTCAGCTTCTTCATGTAAGATTTCAGCTTTTTAAATGTCACCTCCTCAGACAGGCCTTAGTAGGTACCCCGTCCTCTATTCTAACATCTTTTTTAAATATCCGCCATCACACTTATTTATTGTTTGTTCCAGCCCCTTCGCTAACCCCGCCTCTACTCGCCGCAAGGCAGCTTCCTGAGAGCGTGCCTGGCGTTGGTTGAATGAATGAATGAATGAATGAATGAAAATAGTCTGTAGAGTGCAGTGCCCTGCTCTGTCAATCACAGGCAGATTTAATTACCTGTGCCAGAACTCACGGGAGGGCCACACCGTCCGCCAGCCCCGCTCTTTCCTGGCTACAGATAAGAGCTCCAGGTTCCGGGGGTTCCGGTTGGTGAACTCTGGGGCGACAGCTTCCTTTTCCACAGGGTCCACTTCAGGTTTCGCCGCTGGCTTGGAGCTGGTTGAGAGAGCTGCGAACCCGCACCCTGGGCAACGGAAACCCGCAAGGGGCTTAAAAATGACGGATACGGACAGCGCACGAACCTGCTCTAATGTCTATCCCATTCACACCCCGAATCTTCAGGCCCGGGAAGGAGGACGAAAAACAAGTATGCCCACGGGGTGGAGTCAGCACGGACCCCATCCTTAACTTCCTACTGTGGTCCTCCGAGTGCCGTGAGCTCCAACACCCTTCGATCCGGCACGTCGAATGCACAATAGAGCCCGCACGTTCCAATGTACTGTGCAGGCCCTGGCGACTGAGCTGGGAGAAGGGGGACAAGACCAATTACCCGGGTTCCTGCAAACCGAGGACAACCCCCAGAGCCGTGACCGAAGCGCCATCGCTGAGACGATCTCGGAAAAGCTTTGCCTCCCTTTCCTCACGGACGACTCGGTCGCTCGCCGGCCGCAGCCATATCAAGTGAGGGAAAAGCCTTTGGCTCCAGTAGGTCCCTGAATTCTCCACGCCAGACGCTCTCGACCCGGAAGCAGCAAGTCCCCTGCCACTGAGTGGCCAAGAGGGCGATCCGTTATCCCGCACCGCCAATCACCGCTCACGTCGAGGGGCACGCAGGCCCTGGAGCCCACTAAACGCCTCGTGGAAACGCCCACGACCACGCGTTTTGCTTCAGTTCAGGGTCAAAGGCACTCACAACTTTACATCTCATTTGGGTTCTCTATTCGGAAAGTTTGGGCGGTCATTGCCTGGCCCACACACACCCTAACTGGGCACCGCATAGAAATCAGGCAGGGCAAGATGCAGTTTTCTCCTTAAAAAAGGGTGGTTGTCTTCCTCCAACCAAAAATTATCCCGCTTGGTCGGCTGGAAAAACTGCCTCCTCTCACCCAGGTTTGTGCCCCTAAACTTTTGCTCCTGAGGCCTGGAGCAAAGCCGGCGATCTGCCTCATGCTCCCGGCGTAGGGACAAGGAAAAAGACACTAAAACTAAAACGGAAGACTCGCTCTGAACTCCAGCTTTGGCTTGGAGAAGGGCCCGCCCCTCCCGTTACACCCCAACTCCCAGCTCCACCCTTCCTACAATCTTTTCTAGAAGGCACTAGAATGCCCCACTGCGTCTGCGCAACGCTGCTTGAGGCGAAAGTTCAGCCTCTTCCCAGCAGGGCAAGATCCGACTTCCGTTCTCCTACTTCGCGCCCTTCCCATCGGCTATCTAATTGGATAAAAATACTGAGCCCGCCCCTTCCGGGCTCCTAACTTCTGTCACAGTCCCGTTTCTCTACTTGCTGCCCCCACCGCTTCTACTTTCCCGCCGTGCCCCGCGGCTGGGCAGGGGCAGCCGGGAAACGGGTGGGGCGGTGTTACCCAGCAGCTCTTGCGGCATCGCTCGGTTCCCCTCCACGCCGTTGTCGCTACTGCTGCGGTCGCCGGTCGGCAGAGGGGCCGCGATACTGGTTCCCCTCGGTTTGCGCAGAATTCGACGTGTACTGCTGTCGTGAAAATGGAGGGGCCTTTGTCCGTGTTCGGGGACCGCAGCACTGGGGAGGCGATCCGATCCCAGAATGGTAAGTGCAGGCCGGGCCTGGGTCGGGTTCGCTGGCGGGGCGGGCGGAGTCCCACCGCTACCAGCCCGCGGCTGCCTTCTTTGGGCCTCTTCTTTATCACTGCAGAAAGGGTCCCGGGGCACAACGGCCGCACCCGGCCCACCCGCCGTTCTCAGCGGGGAGGAGCCCAGGACCGCGCTGCAGGGTTTTGAGACCGGCACCGCGTGGGTGTGGTGTCAGGAGCGGCGTTGGAAACGTCCCTCTCCGCGGGAGAGCGGGGCCTCCCGGGCTCACACCCCCTTTTGTTCTAGAGCAACCCCCTAAGCGTCCGCGTTAGACGCTAGGTTTCCGAGAAAAGAGTAGGTTGACCCGCGAGCCCTCTGATGAGCCCAGTGCCGTGTCGAGATCGGGCGCTCGGCGTCCAGCTCTGTCCGGGTTGACAGCTTCTTACAGTATAGTTAGCCTAGGAAGCGCTACTCGAGTGGGTTGACCCCAGGAGACGGCAGCGCCAACTACCTTCCCCATTGAACTACCGATTTTTTCCCTCACAGATGAGCAGAAACTTGCAGGATCTGAAGGAAAAGGCTGGTATAGGTATACGAAGTGGCAGAGCATGAAAATTGTGGTTATTACTTTTTTTCAGTTCTCCCACCATCAGATCCGCGCCAGCCAATCAAAGCTTTACCAAACAGCCTCGCTTTGTTTAGAGATGGGGTCCCACTGTCGCCCAGGTGGGAGTGCCATCGTAGCTCACTGCAGTCTCCTAGTACAAGCCCGCGCTGCCACATCCAGCTTTTTTTATTTTTATTTTTTGTAGAAATGAGTTTCGTTATATTGGCGGGGGCGGCCTCAAACTCCTGGCATCAAGCGATCTTCCTGCTTGATCCAGTGTTGGGATTACAGGTGTGTGAACCACAATGTCCAGCCCCATTTAGACTCTTAGTAGGTGGTTTTTAAACAATTAACACAGATGTGTAGACTGGAGAAATACAGGGGCTGTTGGATGTCATTTACCTTTAGGCTGAAATTCTTCTTTCAGTTATGGATTATTCTCATTTCTTTTTTTTTTTTTTTTTTTAATTTTTTTTTCTTTTTTTTTTTTTTTTTTAAACTTGTCTACAGTTATGGCTGCAGCTTCGATTGCCAATATTGTAAAAAGTTCTCTTGGTCCAGTTGGCTTGGATAAAATGTTGGTGGATGATATTGGTGTAAGTACATGTAACTGTTGTGTTGGTTGCCTTCAAGTAAAACTCTTAGTGTTTTGTTACGTTTACTCTTTGATTTTATCAGAATCCAGGTACTGGAAGGTGATATTAAAGATGAACGTGTATTAGAATGGGGCTGTGTTGATTTTTATAAGTGGTTCATATTTTCTCCTGCTGATTTCCTAGGATGTAACCATTACTAACGATGGTGCAACCATCCTGAAGTTACTGGAGGTAGAACATCCTGCAGCTAAAGTTCTTTGTGAGCTGGCTGATCTGCAAGACAAAGAAGTTGGAGATGGAACTACCTCAGTGGTAGGTAGACTGGCTAAAAAATGATTGTTTTTCTAAAAATGACTTTCAGAGTTGAAGCCGTAAGTGGGCCATTTGTGCTGTGTCAGAAATAAGTTATATATTCTAAATGCCCAGCAGACTGAGCAAAAAGGAAAAAGAAGTTACACACTTAAGAGAGAAAATAAGTTTCTCAGGTGCTGATTCAGAAACAAAGTTTGTAAGTTGATAGTTATAGCTAGTTTGTACAATTTAAGTAGGAAAAAATTTGAGTTCATTTAACATAGCCCTGTTGTTTTAAATGTTGGTATTCAGATAACGCACATATTTTTTATGGTCTCTCAAAAGTCTTGTTTCCTCCTCCATCGTGCCTTGAGACTTGGACTGGAGGACAAAATGTTACCAATTTGGCAGGGTGGGTGGGGGGAGCAATGTTTTTATATTATTTTTTTTAAGAGACCATCTGTACCACAGGCTGAAGTCCTGCGATGTCATATCTCACTGCAGCCTCGAACCCCTGGGCTCAAGCAATCCTTCTGCCTTAGCCTACCAGAGTGCTTTGGCTTGCAGGCATATGCCACCTCAACGAACTAATTAGTTTTAATAAAAAACTTTTTGTTTTGGTAGAGACAGGGTCTCGCTATGTTTCCCAGGCTGGTCTTGAACTCCTGGTCTCAAGTGATCCTCCCTTCTCAGCCTCTTACAGTGCTGGGGTTATCAGCATGAGCTGCTGCACCCAGCCTGTTTTATTTTTTAAATCCTGACAGGTAATCTCAGGAACTCATAATGGGAGTGTGAGAAATTAATACATCATGATCTGACAGTGTGATCTTAATCTAGTCAGTAAACATGATATACAGTATGAACTCTTCATAGATCATCCAACACTTTGGTATAGCAGAAACACTGTTGTTTGGTGAGAAAGATATTAATTCTGGAGAAACAAGAGATAGTTTGTGGAGAAATTGTATTTCTAGATTAAACTTCAGCCATGAAAGAATGGAATCTATTCCTAAAATATGAATATGATCTTTGTCTAACTTATGATAATGTGACTTAACAAATACTGTAGTTTTCCCCCCATAAGAAGCTGAAAGATTTTGTCTTTTTAGTTTAAAAATATTCCTCAGTGTTTCATACCAGCTTACAAGAACTATTTTTTTTAATAAGCCAAATAAGAGCCTAATATAGATCATATGAATAGTCAAACTCAGTTCAGCTACTGTTGAGCACTCTGTCTCTACAGGTAATGGATGTGTTGTGCTGCTGAACTAGTTTCTTAGAACTTTTTTCTGGCTTCTATCCAGTTTTGGCCATTTGCATTTATATGTAATGCAATAATCCCTCACTGAACGTCCACAATGGAGTCATGGAAACTGACTTTAAGAGAAAAGATGATTTGTAAAACAAAAAACAAACCAGTTTTCCTCCCCCATCAATGTTACAGTAAATAGCTGTATTTGGTATTTGAGAAATTGCTGTCCATTGTTGCAGTTTCCAAGAATTTGTGAATAACATTGAGGACTTAAAGCGTTTTGTAGAGCTCTTCTCCTCCCACCTCCCAGGTTTCTACTAACCAGTTAGTTCATTTCACCACCACCATTCTGGTTAATAATATATGGCGATTTTAGTGTTTGTCATTTCATATGTATTGCACATGTTGAGTATCAGGCATACTCAGATCAATGAATGTTTTCTCAACAGGTTATTATTGCAGCAGAACTCCTAAAAAATGCAGATGAATTAGTCAAACAGAAAATTCATCCCACATCAGTTATTAGTGGCTATCGACTTGCTTGCAAGTAAGATTGTTTGCATTCAGAGAAAAATTTTTTGATGTAATAGTTGTAACAGTGTGTTGTCTTAATGTTTTGATAGATTTATAATTTGAAAAAGCAATGTTATAGAATTTAAGTAGTAATATTTGTCATTAGAAACTTGGATCAGTATCTTTTTTCCCATTTGACTACCACATTTTCTCCTAATAATAGATTTTAGTGGCTATGCTTATGGGATAGATTAAATTTGCCATGATCTGAAGAGGGAGGGTTTTTTTGTGTCCTCCTCCTACATGAAATGGCTGAACAGATCTTATGACATTTTGGCTCTGTTAAGCATGATGAACACAAGTAGTTTGAGTAGTGACTTTACAAGCCTTTGTCTCCCCCACACTTTTAAACAGGGAAGCAGTGCGTTATATCAATGAAAACCTAATTGTTAACACAGATGAACTGGGAAGAGATTGCCTGATCAATGCTGCTAAGACATCCATGTCTTCCAAAATCATTGGAATGTATCCTTGTTGAAGTCAGGAAAAAAAATGAGGCTTTTTAAAACATAAGACTTTGAGATGGGCATGATAGTGTATGCCTGTAGTCCCAGATGTTAAAAAGGGTGAGGCAGAACTAAAACAGATTTACAAGAAAAAAAGCCCATTCAAAAGTGGGCGAAGGATATGAACAGACACTTTACAAAAGAAGACATAC